ACTTTGAATAATGCGTGTGCTTGCTTACTTGCTCAGATTGTTCATGAAGTAAACATTTGTGCCTCAAAACACTGGTTTCAAGATGCTGAGATTATGAGACTGATCTCCAATTACTGCAACATTTCATTGCTTTCCAAAGTACATGAATGATTATAAACAGGGTGCCATTAACAACAGTAATGAAGTGTCGCTGTTTAGCCAAGGACAATTAAATCATCTCTGAGTATATAGGAAACATGTCTCAAGAAAAACTCATTATTACTTATGAAAGTATAGTGTACAATTAGGGTTCTTTCCTCAATATAATCAGTTACATGAAGAGCATCATTCAAACAAAGACAGATGCATTCTTTTCAAAGCATTGGATCCAGTATCCTCTCAATGAATATTGGCCAGAGCTACAATAGAAATACTCATAGGACACGGCCCCAAATTGAGTAAAATGTCTTAAATCATATTTTAAAACCTTTCCAGAAGGAAAAACTCTCAGCAATTAGATTTCATCTAAATGTTTGGCATTGTAATATGCATTAAATTTTTCAATGCACTGGGGCCCCCAATATGCACCCCCTAGTGGCGCAGTGGGTTAAACCCCAGAGTTGCTGACCTTGCTGACCGAAAGGTTGGTGGTTCGAATCCGGGGAGCGGGGTGAGCTCCTGCTGTTAGGCCCAGCTTCTGCCAAGCTAGCAGTTCGAAAACATGCAAATGCGAGTAGATCGATAGGTACTGTTTCTGTGGGAAGGTAACAGCACTGCATGCAGTCATGCTGGCCACATGACCTTGGAGGTGTCTACTGACAATGCTGGCTCTTTGGCTTAGAAATGAAGATGAGCACCACCACCACCACCCCCCCCACCCCCCGAGTTGGACATAACCAGACTTAATGTTAGGGGAAACCTTTACTTTTATTTAGCACCCCCTCCCCCCAAAAAATTATGACTGCTTAGATTTAAAATGTTTTTTCAAAACTTTTTAAATCCCATAGAATATACAACTTTGGAATCCCAGCTGGAATCCCTATGAATATGATGGCAACCTGACTTCCCTTCAGAGGCTCATACAGAAAAAGTGATCTTCTTAAACTTGTTTCCACTCATGACCCCTTTCCACCTGAGACAGTTTTACACGAACCCCAAGTATATAGGTATATAAAATACCTATATAGGTATATAAAATAGGCATAAAAATCAAATATTTGCTGATAATATATCAGCATTTGCAAGGTTTGCTAAACAGGCTGATTTTCCTTTTTATAGAGTATGGCTGAAGCATTTTCTGCAGAGGCCACTGTAAACACTGCACATTATTGCGAACAGATTCATGTTAGCACTCAGAAATGGGGTGAGGGCCCACAGTTTAAGAAGCAGTAATCTAGTGCTAATCTAATCTAAACTGAATTTGGGGTTGGGAACAATTTCTGTTGCTTGCCATCTAGTGGCTGTTTCAGATATTTAAATGAATATGTTAGCCACTATATGCAGCACATGCTCCAACTGCCACTTGAGGCTGCAAACCAATCATGCCAGATGAGCATGGCAAAATACAGATTCAAAAAATAAAATAGAATAAATTCCCTGACCCAATGCATGCAAAAACATAAAAAAGAAAGAAAATGACTTTAGTGTTTGTAAATCCAATTGAAAAAAAACCCAAACAAACGCTATTAAAAAAATAAACAAATAGACCTGGGAATGAATAGGGATAAAATAATTTTATTTAGTTTATACTTTAAATGCTACAAAACAGATTTATACAACCTTTACACTGAAATACTTTATACATTTTAACATAAATATGTACAAGTTCATTGTTTTTTCAGTGTAAGAAGTGCTTGATATATCTTGTCAAGTGGCTGAGCTGCCAGAATAGAATCAAAAAGTTGGAAGAGACCTCAAAGACAATCCAATCAAACTCCCAGCTGTATCAATGTCATATTCCCATACAATAAAGGTTTCCACTCATTATGACAAATAGCCTCCCTAAATCAATAGTGTTTAAAATGGGGATGGGAATTCCTCATCATTGGCTGTGCTGGCAATAACTTGTGAGAGCTGCCATTTAGCAGCGTCTAAATGCCAACTGTTTCCCATTCTAGGTATAAAAAAAGAGTCCGAGCCTTCCTAAAAATAAGTTAATGCAATGTAACACGAAACAAAATCAAGGTAGCTTGATTTATGGTTGCCAGTATGCACCAAGATATTGGACTGAAGAGACTCTTGAATCACTGAGTGTCACAACCACTACAGCAATCAGCACCACGGAGGCAGCATTTCTACCTATTCCTTCAAACAGCAGAAGTTTAGCCCAGCAATAATTGCACCAGTACAGCATTTCTCCTCTGGGTAATCTATACTACTAATGCTGTACTCTGTGTGCACGAAAAAAAATTTTGAAATGCTTGATCACGGAAGGATAAAATACAGTTGGCTCTGCACACTTGGAGGTTTTGCAGTGGTGAGCATTCGTGAGCTTGTACCTCAGAACCTACCTTTTGAAGTTGGGGTTGTATTGTGAACCTTCACATGGCAGTTCAGTCCCCAAGAGGTAGGGTAAGGGGAGGTGAGGGATCACTATCCAGCTCCTGTATATGGGCTGATCTGGGAACATTCATAAGGTTGCCCCATTCTCAGGTGGGCCGAAGGAGGAGAAGTTGAATCATTGCTGCATACTCCATGCCTGCATCCTGAAAATGTAACTGCCATGCCATTGTCACAGAGCAGCTCCATCTTAGGGAGGTGGCATGGAAGGTGATGACCCCCATCACTCATCTCTTGAGCATGGGGCTCTCATCTGAATGTCTAGAGACAGCCCCACCTTTGGAAAATGGGCAGGATCACTGCCGCCACACCTCCACCTCCCAAGGACAGGACTATTTATTTGTCGTGTCAGTAATTGTTGGGAACAGTTGGCATACTATTGGTCGGCCACAGAAGCGACCAGCATGCAAGGACAGGACTGTCATGTGAATATTCACAAGGCAGAACCATCTTCAGAAGGTGGGTGTAGTGCAGGCTGTGATGACTCCCTTCTGCTCACCTCCTGAGGATAGGACTACCCTGTGATTGTGCACACAGCTACGTTAGCCTGATGGATACAGCTGTCATCTTATGGAAAAGTTGCAACGTTAAACTATATTTCCATAAAAAGGAAGTGCATAACTCTGTTCAAGTTATGTAAGTTTTTTTTACTATATATATTATTTTATTAGAAATACAAAGGGTTGGGGATATGTGGATATAGGAAAGGGGATGGGGTAAAAAAAAGAGAAATACCTTCTACAAGTAAAGTGGGAGAACAATAATACAATAGAAAAGTAGGAAAATAGGATAGAAAGATAAAAACTAAGAGAGAAGGGGGAAAAATTCTGATGACTTTCTTCTAGTCCTTTGCAGCTTATGTTTATCTGTGAAAAAATATTATATATTGAGGGTAAAAAGTAAAAAATAAATGAATTAAATGTTCAATAAAATAGATCTATCTCCTTGTTTTTCTATCAAAAAGAAAAAAAGAGGCAATGTCTTTTAATGTTTTATTTATTGTCCTTTTTTTCATATTCCTCAAATTTGGACAGTCTGTATGTCAGATCAGGTTTCCTGAATTTTCTTTAATAAAGTTATGTAAAACTTTTATTATAACTCATTAAATGTAAAAAAAATCATATACCTCCATATTCTACAGGTTTCACATTGCCACAATGGTTTCAAAATCCAATCCTGATCATGTTATGCTGCATCAAAAAATCATTAAAGGTTGCACCAGACATAGTGCTAACCATCTTAGTGTGACTTAGCCAAATACCCAAACAAAATGGAAACTCTTAAGGTATTCCATCATGGAGTTCGTTATCATTGGCCAAGGCAGCTGAGTCTTCTGGGGGTTGAAATCCCAAACATCTGGAAGACCAAAGTTTGGGAAATACTGGTCTAAAGAGCTGATTTAGCAAAGTGATAGAACAAATTGCGCCTTTAGTCTCTAATTTGACCAAAGATTAGTCAAGGTTGAAATCTGAAGTGGGTCAAACTTGTAGGCTCCCAAAGAATCTTAAATAATCCCCTTCAATCACTTCTAATGACAGATCTTGTACATTTCACAGGAACTAAGTCATAGCAGGTGTCTCTAGTGAGACATAGAACTACAAGCCAGCCAGACATCCTTTTTTGAAATTAACTCATCTTTCCCTAATTATCTGAAACAGGAACTGTGAGGTGGTTAGACACAGAAATATACTTGATGGAGGAATGGCCTCCAAACCCCATGATTGTGTTCCATAAACTCCCTTGACAGTTCCTGCCCAGCCTCCAATTGTTTATCATTAATTTTTATTTTTATTTTTGCATTTGGGTGCATTCTTTCATGCAAAAAAGTGCATGAAAACTTTGGACGCACACAGCTCCGTCCTCCAAACTAATACCAGTGACCGAAATGGTTGTATTATGGTCCGCAGAGGGGGAAGAGGTGAAGTCTGGTCCCTTACTCCTAGAATCAGAGAATCATTGAGCTGGAAGAGACCTCATGGGTCATCAGTCCAACCCTGCCAAGAAGCAGGAAAATCGCATTCAAACCCCCAAAAGATGACCATCCAGTCTCTGCTTAAAAGCCTCCAAAGAAGGACCTCCACCACACTCTGGGACAGAGAGTTCCACTGCTGAACAGCTCTTGCAGTCGGGAAGTTCTTCCTAAAGTTTAGGAGGACTCTCCTTTCCTGAACCACTGTCCTCCCTGATTTAGGGGCAGTCTGTTAGCAAGGCAAAGTTGTGCTGATCATCAGGGAGATTTAGTGACAAATTGACACAACTGAATGATGTGGGAGCAAAGAAGCAAGGTAAATGAGGTAACTGCATGATATAGCTAGAGAATAAATTACTCTTGAACTAAATTACACATAGTAGAGGGGGATTTCAAAACACATATCACTTCCAAGGATTTGGGGGGGGGGGGGGTAGAAGAAGATGAATTTATATATATCAAACTTACTTATGTAAATGAAAACCCGTTTCTTATGTAAACAACTGGTCTTAAAATAAGCACATTTATTACTGCCAGATCTTGACTGCTCCATCCCAGCCACATGTAGCAAGGAGTGATGGAAGGACCGGATGAAATGTTGCACCCACACAGGCTTGACTGTGCCCAGACAAGGTGCCAAGGATTCGAGAGGTGCGATAATTGTAGAAAAACACTTTGCCATCTGAACTTCCGGACACAAGAAGCATTCCGTCTGGAGAAAACTCACAGTCTACTGCAAATCCTTCAACCTGAAAGATTCATGAATTAAGAGGGTTTAAAATAAATTGGGATCTTAATTACTAAAACACAATATGATCTATAACCTCCTGAAATGTTATAGTGTAATAAAGGTGTCGGTTTTTTAACATAATGGCCTAATTATTTCCCCCAGGTGTTTATCAAGACAGCCCCATTAAGGACTTTACATTGTTAGCTGCATTCGGTGTGTACGTGACAAGGCTATTAGCAACTAATAAAGATTTTAGTTATTTTTGGATCTATCCCCACTTCAGTTTAATTATAAATTAAATCAAATGCAGAGAACAGAGTTGAAGTCTATTAATTTTTAACTCTGTTATAAATTAGCACCATAAGCAGGCATATTAAAGTGTATGTATCCATTGAGTGTTTGCAGAGAAATGGAAGAATACCTTGTGCCCTTCATATCTCTTCTTTTTGTTGATTCTGTATGGTCGAACGCTAGAAAACAAGGCCATGTAATTCCCATTGGTCTGAGCAACAAAGATAGGCTCCTTAGGATGAGGTGCAAGACTGGGGCAGGTATAACGCTCCTGAAAGGTATGGAAATAATTGTAATCAATAATAATAATAACAACAACGCAAAGACTCTGGCCCAGATTGGCACACTGGTCGCAGTGCCTAAAGACTTGGCCAGCATTTAAACACAATCGGTGCTGACAAAATTACCATGTCAGATACAAAAGGCCACTCTACTCGGATCTGCACACATTATTCACCAATACATCACACAGCCCTAGACACTTGGGAAGTGTCCGACGTGTGATCAAATACAAAAGCCAGCATAGTGATCTTGTCTGCTGTGTACTAATCTTGTTGTGCATCAAGTAATAATAATAATAATAATAATAATAATAATAATAATAATAATAATACAGATCGTGATTTTGTCAATGTTTATTGCCATTTGGAAACACAGCATAAGCATAAGCATAAAATTATCATAATAACACATGTATATTAAAAATAATCCTGCCTATTCAGAGCAATTAAAAAGCTGGGCCAAGGCTAGTGCAAACTCAAAATATGAGGGGGCCAGGAATTAAGTAGAATGCTATAACAGGCTAACGGCAATAGCAGGTACGAGTCTGTGGCTGCTCATTTCCAGGGCCTATTAGAGGGATGACCGGGGTAATGGGTAAGAGTGCAAGGCCATATTCAACAATGTTTGGGCTGGACTAGAACTGGTCAGTCTCAAAGGCTTGTTGAAGCCACCAGGTCTTCAAGTTTTTACGAAAGGAGGGGAAGGATGGGGCCTGCCATATTTCCCTTGGAAGGGTGTTCCAGAGGCGGGGGGGGGGGCACCACCGAGAAGGCCCTCTCTCTCATCCCCACCAACTGTACTTGTGATGGTGGTGGGACCGAAAGGAGGGCCTCCCCGGAAGTTCTTAGAGTTCACGCCGGTTCATAGAAGAAGGTGAGATCGCCGAGATAGGTGAGGCCTAAACCATTTAGGGCTTTATAGGTCATGACCTGCACCTTGAATTTGGCTAGGCAACTTAGCGGCAGCCAAGTTGCCAAGCCAAATTGTTCTTTTCCTTCTTTTTCTCTTTCTTTCCTTCCTTCCTTCCTTCTCCAACTCTGGGAAAGCCTAACTCATAATGTCTCCTTTTCTCTCATACACATGCCACCTTTCTTTCCCAATGACATCACAGAAAGACACTTCACCTAGCAACAGCCAATCCAGTAAAATCAGAGGGCCATTTCACGTAGCAACAGCAATTTGTGGTACAAATGGACAGACATATTAACATACTTTCACACACACACACACACACACACACACAACAGAGTGGCTTGCTCTGAAAGTAGCTTTTTCCAAAATCTTTCAATATTTGGGTTGCTGTAATTTTTTGGGGCTGTATGGCCATGTTCCAGAAGCATTCTCTCCTGACATTTCACCTGCATCTATGGCAGGCATCCTCAGAGGTTGTGAGATCTCTGTCAATATTTATTTATGTATTTACTGTATTCTTACCCCACTCTGTCTCAACCTCAAAGGGGACTCAGAGTGGGATTTAACAATAGAAAGGTTTGATCATATAAATCAATTGTTTCTCCCAATATTGTTTTGCTGTGCATTCACTAGACTCCTACTTTGGAAAGGAACCACCAAATTTGGATTGCCTCTGTTTCCTGTGTTTACCTCCGTAATCACAGATGACACAGAGCCAGGTTTTCCCACCTGCTTCCATGACACTTTAATAATGTATGAATTGGGCCTAAGAAAGGAACTGGGAGGAAACAAGCAGTTTTCTATAAAACTCTTTTGCGGCAATTTTAAATTAAGGATGATTCAGAGCCAGGGGCAGACAAGATAAATACTTGATTGCCAGAGATTACATTTTCTGCAGTTCTCATCTATATCAGATCATTTGTTCTAGTTTAAGAAGAAGGAAAGGCTTGAATACAAAAGTCAACTGTTTTAGGCCGATACACAGGCATAAAGAAAGACTAACAATGAGAGCTGTTTTGGCTCAGTAAGTGGTGTTTATCCCTGCTGAGAGTGAAAATCGACTTTTTGGTGTGTTGCAAGTGCATCTGAAAGATTAGAAATGGAAATTTATGAAACTAAAGGCAATTCTTTGTAATTGTTTGCACACACTCACACAAAATCACCCTCAATTTCACGCTTGCTCTGGAGAGAGCAGTAAACTGTCCCATTCAATAACACTCCCTTTTTTTCTACCAAGGAAATCAGCGTGTTTAAGCTGCTGAATACATCAAAATTGAACGTGCTGCAGTTTCTTATTCACTGAAGCGCTTTGCTTTTGAAGTGCAAATGACTAACCTTCTCTCACAATTTATGTGCAGGATTGTGCATCTGCAAATCTGGACAAAGGCAATCATAGAAGTTGGCGATGGGAGAGTTCTATTAAATCATCCACTCCATCTCTATGCCAGGGCAGAATAGTTCTTTTCATAGATAAATGGCTACAAACTGACCTTATTCTTTCCATTTTCAAAAGAGAATGAACTCTATTCTGAGTTTGTGCAGAAGTTCAGCAATGCAACCATATACCTGCACACAAACGTGTATATTTGTGTATGTGTGTGTGCAATGTTCATTTGTGGGATTAACAACCACTGGACGAATTGACACCAAATTTAGACACAATACACCTATCAGGCCAACGAGTGACCATCACTCATAAAAACACAGAAAAACACAGAAGTGACTTAAAAAGCCAAAAAATAAAAATACATTACAACATATGCGCAAAACCCCATATATACATATACACACAAAACACATATACATAGACTGGGCCACAGCAACACATGGCAGGAGATAGCTATATGTGTGTGTGTGTGTGTGTGTGTGCGTGAACATAGCATAGAAGAGCATCTCCAAATGCAGCTACCTTCAAGCTTCAAGAAAGTGTTAGGTCTTTAAGAGGTAGGGAATGACCTGTTATTCTCTGAAAACATCAGACTGGAATCTAAGAGTAGGTTTACATTTTCTCTCACAACAGGGCATGGGAAGGACTTCTGTCAAACTAGTTCTCCCTCCTCATGTGTATGTGTGTGTACACACACACCAGGCATGACTGAGAGACAGGGCCTTCTCAGTGGCGGCCCCTTGGCTGTGGAATTCCTTTCCCAGTTAGATCAGCCCCCTCCCTCCTGACCTTCAGGAAGAGAGTGGCAAGTAGAGAGTAGCATCCTAGGTGGAACACAGGAACTTGCTTTATGTCAGGTCAAATTATTTTTGTCTGTTTAGCTCAGTACCGTTTACCTGAGTAGACAACAACTTTTGAGGAGAAAAGGCCTGCTCCCTAAGATGGAGATGGCAGAGACTGTCACATGCAAAGCATACCAACTACCACTGAGCTACCATCTATTCCAGAATCTGGGTCACTTTTTGGACTCCCTCCCCACAGTCAGCATAGACAACAATGCCAAGCTCTATCCTACATGTCCACATTTCATAGCAAGGATGGAAATGTATAGCCTTCCCAATTGGACACAGACATAAATTCCAAGAGAATTTAAACATGTGTTAGAGAACAAAGACTGCTAGAAAAGAAAGCTGGTCTAGCAATCGGAAAACAAGTGGAACTATGTAAAAGGGGCATTATATATTTTCAAAAAGAAAGTCAACTTTTATTATTATTTTTAAAGTGCTAAAACAATACTTGATAGTATGTGCAGCATACTCCAGCCGCTGCCACTCTCGTTTCCTCCTGCATGCCTATATATTACAACCTTTGTCTGATGAAGACATGTAGATCTTTTGAAAGCCTGCAGATTTTGCATTTCCTCTGACTGCCTTGATCACAATCCCGACTAGTTCTCAGGATAGAAACCTGCTGGTGACAGATGCACCTGGAAGTCTCCTTAAATCATCAGAAGTCAATTTTTGACCAAGACATAGTGGCAGCAGGGATACAACAACAAATGTTAGAGTTAGCAGAGTAGTTTTATCTCCTGACAGAGATGGGTTTTATTGCCATTCTCCACACTTTCAAGGCAGCACCATTTGTCATTTTTCATCTGCCACTGTGCTACCTTCTTTACCAACTCCACTTGTGGTGGTGTAGTTACAACAGCGAATAGGATGTTGATTGAAATGAGAGTTTGGAGGCATCCACCTTCAAGTCTAAGTTCAATGACAAAGTAACGATGGCCTAGCAGAGAGAGACTGAAAATTATACCTTCGCCATCCCCATCCAAGTATACATTCAATCAGTCATGATGCAAGGCTGTGCTGCTGTTCCTACAAAGACTACATTGATCTGAATAGGAGTAGAACCCAATGGAAGGATTAGGAGAACCATATAATCCTCTAGCCCAGTCAGCTGCAGTAACACAAACTGCAAGGGAAAAAGCTGCTATGAATGAATATTTTTAATGTGTCACTAAAAAAAGAAATATAACATAAACCATCTCACATGAAAGATTTGATTGGAGACCTTCGCAGCTGTGTGGAAGTCCCATGCAATGATGGTGCGGTCCGCTGAATCTTGGCTTACTGCATCAGTGCTGGTAAGAAATTCTTGTCCTCCTGGGAGGAACATGATATCCAAGGTTTGCTGTACTGCAGCTTTGTAGACTTTTATTATCTGCAATTCAAAAATACCATAAGGCAACCATTGTTCCAGTGCTCCCTCAGACATACTGATTTTTCAACCAGAACAAGTACATTTTAAAGCAGAATAGCAGTTGCTCACAGAGACAGAGGAAGGGAGGGAGACAATTCAAAACAGAGAAGAAAGGAGAAAATGTCCAGTCCAATCCTCTGCCATGCCATCTTTCAGCGCTGCCTAGGACTGGAGGGATTTACTGTTCGCCAGCACAATTAATAATCCGTCGTTAAGAGGAAGGGCTATAAGACTAAGGTCTAATATAATATAATGCTCCTTAAGAAGGGCATGATTGACATTGTAGGTGTGCTTACTTAGAGAAAATCTGGATTTAATTCTGGACCCCTAAATTCTATCTGCATAGGATGAACAAATAAAACGGATTCATCTTTAACAACTGCTCTTCTTTAGCCAACTGAAAAGCGTGGTTATGCTTTTAATTAGAAATGCAAATTATCTTGGAAATAAGAGTTTCATTTGGCCTTCTACATTTGTGGATTTGATTATTCATAGATTTGATTAAAATGTTCTCTCTATAAATCCCTAGGTTCTCCAGTGTGACTTTATGGTCAACCATTGGAAGTCATGCTGGAGGACCTAGATGCCTGGAGGGAACATGTCTCTAGCTTCAGCACAGCTGGTTAATCACCAGCAGGAATAGATCACACCTATCAAAAGGTTGGCAGTTTGAAGGCTGGGTCGGGGTGAGCATCTGACCTTCAGCCCAGCTCACTGTTTACTTAAGCAGTTCGAAAACAGCTGTGAGCCGTGAGTAGAGAAATTACACACCGCTTAAGTGGGGAGGTATTTTACGGCACCATAAAAAACAGAATACCAGAAAATGCTGGCAATCAAAGGAAGGAGGAAATCTGTGACCAAGGCTCTTGGTCATAGAGGATGGAGCAACAGCCCCCTCCTGTGGGTGAAATCGAGAACAACCTCCAGGATGCCGAAGTATTGGATGGGGGAAATATTATTATTATTTACAGCTTTTATATTCTGCCCTTCTCACCCCGCAGGGGACTCAGGGCGGATTACAGTGTACACATATATGGCAAACATTCAATGCCAATTTTTGACATACAAACATATACAGTCATACACAGAGGCTATTTAACTTTTTCTGGCCGCCAGGGCAGCTGTTGCTTTCATCTCCATCTGCGACGCTGATGAAGCACTTCCGCATTCCCCGCATGCTTCCCCGCTGGAATGCTTTTGCTGGCATCTTCTTTATGGCCTCATAAATCAGTTAATTTAGCCTCCCCACACTTTAAGGTGGTACCTAATTTTCCTACTTGACAAATGCAACTGTCTTTCGGGTTGCAAAGGTCGACAACAGGCTACACAATTGGTTGGAAACCCACTCCAACATGGGCCGGCTTTGAACTAATGACCTTTTGGTCAGAGTGATCTTGGGGAAAATGCTAACATATACCTTTATCTGTTGTCTGTCCTGTCTCTTTAAGGGCACTGAATGTTTGCTGTGTATGTGTTCTGTGATCCACCCTGAGTTCCATTCAGGGTGCAAAGGGCAGAATACAAATGCTGTAAATAAATAAATAAAACATCTAGATCTTCTAGTGTGATTCTATGATCAATGTCCAGCAAAGACTAACCCTAGAGTTCTACTGGAGGACCTAGAGATTCCTGACTGTACTTTAAACTTCTAGAATGCAGAAATAAACTCTTCAAATAAATTGTTTCCTCTGACTTCTACTGTGCTAATTTATTACAAACAAGAAAATAACCGCAAACTTTGAAAGACTCCTTATCACTCATTTGCCAGAGTAAAGAGAATGCTTTGAGAGAGAACATTGTAACTCCTGCTCTGAAAAAAAAAAGTCTTGGAATTGGAACCCCCCCCCCCCTATTTTTCCTCTCCACTACCCACTTGATTAAACAGCTATAAAACAGAATACAATTAAAATGAAGAAGTCCTGGAAATTCTGCGTAGCACACAAACCAATTAAGGCTCTTGGGGGTTTTCCCCTCCAAAATGTGTGTGGTAATAGCAAATTGATCTGCATTAATTCTGCAAGGAAATAATAGTACTTGGATAACTCAATTCAAAAGTGAAGCAGCATTATCATGGGAGTCAATGTAAACCACAGTCTGGCAGAGCAACTGTCAAAATAAATAATACTTTACATATCAAAGAGACCTCCATGGCTCTCAGTCCTTTCCTTTAGGATGGAAATATTGGTTAGGGGTGGCAAGCGGTTGGGAGAGAGAAGAAGAGTCCATATCAGCAATCTGCAGCAAATTTTTTGAATGATTTAAAGTTGAACAAAGAATACGTGGGTTTTTATTGGAAGTGGTTGCTTGGCAACGAGAATCTTTGGGAAAGAGTGGATGTTGACAGTTGGTAAGATCAGAAGGGAGAAAAACACAAAAGTGCAAAGGATGCGAGACAAGCAAGCAGAGGGACGGAAGCTAATTAGCGGCAGACTGGGGACATAAAAGCAAAGGGAGAAAAAGCAAGGAACTAGTAAATGGGAGTCCCGGAGGAAGCGTGCATAGATATTTCGGTCACGCATTAAGTTCCCAAAAATAAAATGAAATATATGATTAGGGTCCTCAGAAACCCAATGTTTGTTTGAAAGTGCTGTGAAATGTATCTACACATGGATATAAATATAGCATGCATATCATGTTTATACCCAGAGGGTTGTTACATGGATCTTTTTTTCCCCTTCCTTCCATATTTATATCCAAACAAGTTGTCTCTCAATTAACCATGGAGATTTCTGGATGCTGGATAAATGTAATTCCTGGTTGCTTAAAAGTAACTTTAAAATAGGCCTAACTTTACCATACTATAGGTAAAGGTAAAGGTAGTCCCCTGACATTAAGTCCAGTCATGTCTGACTCTGAGGTGTGGTGCTCATCTCCATTTCTAAGCCGAAGAGCCAGCGTTGTCCGTAGACACCTCCAAAGTCATGTGGCCGGCATGACTGCATGGAGCGCCGTTACCTTCCCGCCGGAGCAGTACCTATTGATCTACTCACATTTGCATGTTTTCGAACTGCTAGGTTGGCAGAAGCTAGGGCTGACAGCGGAAGCTCACGCCGCTCCCTGGAATCGAACCTGCAACCTTTCGATCAACAAGCTCAGCAGCTCAGTGCTTTAATCCACTGCGCCACCGGTATATCATACCATAAACTCTGTACTGACTTGATATTACTATTGAAATACCTTAATTAAAAGCAAATTAAAACAAATAAAGAAAACTTAACTAAATGTAATATTGTTTTACTGTAATATAAAAACAACTTTTTAAAAAACATGTTCTTTCTCTCTCTTTTTTTGGCCAGTTGCTTGAGTCCCAGTTAATTGAGAGTCTACTGCGGAGCCAAAGCAGCACAATGAGTTAAACCCTTGTGCTGCTCAACTGCTGACCTGAAGGTTGGCTGAACTGCGTATCTGTTCGAATTTACGAGACAGAGTGAGCTCCCATCTGTCTGCTCCAGTTCCTGCCAACCTACCAGTTCAAAAACATGCAAATATGAGTAGATAAATAGGTACCGCTTCGGCGGGAAAAGGCAAAGAGGCACGCAATCTTGCTGGCCACAAAACCAGGAGGTGACAACACAGGCTCCTCAGCTTGAAAATTGAGAAAACACATCCCCAAAGCTAGATATGAGAACCACCTCCAGAAAGCTGGAAATGAAAGGAGAAGTCTCTGCCTTTGTTTGTGTTTGTGTATCTCACTGTATATGATTGTAAAGGCATTCAATGTCTGCCTCTGTATGTAAATGCTGTAATCCATTCTGAGTCCCCAAGGAGAGAAGGGTGGAATATAAATAAAATGTATTATTATTATAATTATTATTGTATTACACATTTTATAGACAAAACTGAAATCAAAAAAATAAAAAACAGCAAGGTGAATTTTTGTTTTCTTGTGTGAAATTTCCATGCACTCAGAGCTTACCATACTTCTTGATTGTTTATTATTATTATTATTATTATTATTATTATTATTATTATTATTCCCTTATATCCAGGGGAAGGCTAATCACGTTAGATGATTGATCCTTTTTGTTCAGTACTGTCTATACTGAACCCCATCCATCCAGAGTTTTGGACCAAAAAAATCTCTTTAGGTCCTGGAGAAGATAATGGCCAAGATTCATGGAGGCACCAGATGGACACCAAAGCCTGTCAGAATAGTATTGACTCAGTCACTGTAGCAGTAGAGCCAAAGTGAAGGGTAGCCAAATGGATAGAGGATCATCCTTCATCACAGGAGGATCAGATAGTCTGGTGGATTCAGAAAGCAGGATTTCTCATGTAGCCTCTGTTAGATGTTCATAAACCAGCCAGACACCAGCCAAGGAAGTTCATTCCCAATTCTCTGGTAGCAGAGAAACAGACATACTGTACCATGCATGAGGTGAGAACCTAGTAGAGGAGAAGAAATAGAAAGAGTGGGAGAATGTGTTCATGTCGTGATACATTTGTATTGTGATATAATTGGTTGTATGTATCCATTCATCCCATTAAGGATGAAGGGCAAGGGCATACTCTCCCGCTATTCTGATTGAGCAGAGAGACTCCCAACTAATCCTCTGTTGTCCCATTTAGTCCAGCTGTTGTCCCATTTAGTACCATTTTCTTTTTTTCTCCTCCTGCTTTCCCTCTTTGTCCTCAGCTTACCTTGATTACCGCAAACTGAGTTTAACATGCAAAAAAATGGGTTGCGCTCAATTAACTGAGCAGGGAGGAGATGCAAGGACACAATCCTTCCGTTTCCAATAGATTCAAGCCAAAAAATTGGCATATTGATAGCTCCCTGATATAGCTTGGTGACATGTGTCCTGGTTTGCATAACTTTTAAAATAATGCCCATCTAGCAATTGTATGGTGCTTTGTAAACTTGACACATTTCAGGACTTCATCGTGTCTTAATCTGGCAGACAATTCAGAATGGAAAAGAGATCATAGAGAAAGGAAGAGGAGAACATTAAGTTGACATC